CAACTGCTTAGTAATGAACACCAGCATACCTCTGTTTTTTGTTAGTTGGAACTCTATGTGTGAAGACACCAAATATTTGAACATGTCACAGAAACGGTTTTTTCTGAGCACACTGACCATGTGGACAAAATAATTTTTTATTAAATCGAACTTTTTAAGAAAATTTTTACCATGTTTGTTGAATACCTTTGTGTCCTCTAGGTTTTGTCCTAAAATTTATACAAGTTTCCGTCGCCTAACCCCAGTAAGTGCCATTCAGCCGTTGTATGAACCGTCCTTATCCGCCTCTTCAGTGACCGTCTAATATTTATCTACTTTGATGAATATACTTGAGAGAGAAGTAAACGTGTAAAATCATACCTGGGCAATTCGCTACCATCACATCTTTTGTCCTAAACAGCAAATTGTTCACTTTTATCTCTTTTAATATCACCTTGCATATGCGTACCAAAGTGCTGTACAAGAAATGCCGCCTGTAATTCTAACCTATAGAATTTAAGTTCACTTAGTATGCATATTTATATTCTTATTATTTCCGTTAGCGACCAGTACTCTTTATTTATATGGTCGATACTGAAGTATTCGGTTTCCAATAACCCATCTTTAGTCAGGTACGGAACGGCTGTTGGCAATTCAAAAGTGGATTTCACACAATGTCATAGCTAGTTCCTCAGAGAAATGTCCAGTAATTCCAGGTTGACATGTGTTATTCAATAGAAGCTGTCTTATTTGGCTTGCTTAGTCGGAATAACACGTCATTACATCTCAGTCTCAGTCTTTTATACATATTTGACAACAAAACTATCATCCTTACTACAGTAGCACTTGCTAGCTAAAAAGTCCGAGGCCTGGCCACACTTAGGAATTTGTGTTATAGTTAAACATCTATCCACGTGTGATTCTACTAATATGGTCTTTTTCAGTAGTATGTTAATTACTACTGCTTACTTCTAAAAGAGACTTATCATAAATCAAGAAACATCGATTTGACTGCTAAATCCTAGCAAAAAGCATGTGTCGCAGGTCGATCCACAAAATCCCTTAAGTATGATTGCCTAGCATTAAAGACCCAGAATGAGAAAGTAGGATTTCCATGACTTTACAATAGATGGTCACTGGAAACCCGTGGATGAAATTTGATAAGTCGTTGCAATGATAGTTTCTTAATATAGGTAGGTAGTTAATGTGAATATTCTTGGCTCTCTTTACCGATGAGAATGTTCAATGTTCCACTGAACTCGAACTTGAGGCCACAAAGCTTTCTTCGCTATGATGCTTCAAATGCTAAGTGTAACTTGCAGGGACATGATTTAGCGACCCTTCTGCTTTTGATTTATTTAGGAATGGAGGTCATGATTTTGCACCGGCTTACTCACTGGCTCCATGTATTGTATTTTCAGGTGGTACGCTGACAGAATAATTGAAGTCTTCATCTCATTACTGAGCCGATCCGCGGCACTTTTCACGAGGTCCCCAACTCCAAGTGTCGCATTTCGTTTTGTACCGATTTCGAGGCTTCAGTAAACTCAAGTACATTCCGCATTTCTGTATTTTAGGTTATCATGGCCCTCATCAGATCAAAATAGGAATTTCGGCACACACATCTCCCCACATTATTAAGTTGGCGCGCATTTCAGCCGGTAGCTACACTATATTTTGCATAACCTCATCTCAAGCTTCTTTCCCTAGTAGTATTTATCATAGGCTTTTGACATAACTTTAAAACATACCATTCGTTTGTGAAAGCACTGACGCTTTGGTAGGTAAAGCACTCGGATCCTTTCTTTACATCTTTAACCCACCTTGCTCCCCAACACTTAGCTTCGGTTTTAACTTGACCATATCTTGCTGGTGAATCAACCGACACATTGTCAACATCGATATGTTTGCCACTCAGGACTACTGTAACCTCATAAACATATCACTGGCGTTCTGTTGGACCAATTCCCTGCATAATCAAACTCCTAGCGCAGTTAGCCAAACTACTAAAGGTTCGGCATTCTTGTTCACAGCCCACAACCCACACATCTTAAGTAATCCGAAATCCGTATTGCGCCTCCTAATTGTAAACAACATCTGCAATACAATAATAAGGTAGTTGCTTAAATATTTCCCTTTTATACTGTGCAGTAATGTGGACCTATTTTTCCCTGTTAGCCAGACCCATACTGCTGTTCCTTATGCTGTGTCCAGAAATTTGGTTGCGAGACCCTCCCCACACTATATTATTCTCGATTCCACACATGTACATAATTCACTAGGAAGTTTTCGACCTCCATCGCACTAATACTTACTAATACTTGCTATTTCCCTTCTATTTACGTTGATCCGGACCACGACTCGTTCAACGGTATGATGAGATACTTGCTACCGAAGAAAGTTGGAGCTGCATAAGAATAAATTACAACTTGAATCCAATCCCACTCAATACGAATCTCCTCGCATCCGATAAACAATTTCAGCTTCAGAGAAAACTTGTACATAATGATCGGTCCAGGGTCTCTGGAACGTGTCCCACCTTTCTGAGAAATATACCTATTATTATTATTATTATTATTACTATTAACTCATGTCCCTTGTTGCTCATTTTGTCCTCCATCTAAAAGATTTTGTTTTGAATGACTTCCTCTGGTTTGCAAATGACTTTGATTCTATAGAATTCCATCCGGTTGATATCGGTATTTCCTGTTGCACTATATTCATCCAACTAGTGGTTAAAATTGTCTCCCTAAGCGAAGCAGCTCCGCTATGTTTGCAACTTTCTGCTGCTATGCTTGCTTGACATACTTATATCAGCCTACACTTGGATGGACCCAACATTGTGGGCTTTCTTACGATGTTTGTTTTGTGGTTGAGCAAACAGTGAGCAATCATGCAACAAAATGAACAATAAACTCAGGTCGCATAAACCGCCACGTCAATGGTCAATGATATATAGTGGATAAAATGTGCAAAAGCTTGACATATCCAGCCGGATGATCGGTTAGGGGTAAGAAAAATAAAGGCAAAAGTGGCAATAAGAAATAGTGAACAACTGTAAAATGCGAACGAGCCGTTTACAGTGCTCCCGTCCGTTTTATTTACTATCCAAGGTTATAGTCTGTGGTTTGGGGGCAAAAATGAAGGTGGGTTGATTTGTTGTTGTTTTGCGGCTATTTTATGGGTTACTTGATATGGTGTGGTACGGCGAGTGCACCGTCGACACGTGCTTTGAACACGGCTAACGTGGGGGCTGAAATGACCGCTTTTGAGAGAGTATTCCAAGTGTGGTAAACACGCAGCGAGAACTTTCTTCGACACTATAAACGACTGCATTGTTTTGCCAATTTGAGATGATGACCTCTCATTTGGTTGCTGTGACTCAGCTTCGCGAGGGAACGGCACGGGTTATCCGTGTTGTTTAATATTTGGTAAACCATGATAAGGTCACCACGTAAACGGCGATAACGTCCACTGAATATGCCAAGCCCTCTGGGGCCGTGTTCGTATGACAAGTGGCGCAGCCCAGCTAGTACCTGACATGGGCCAGTGATTTTGTATAATTCTACAAGTCAAGTATTTTAACCATTATTGAGAGCAGGTTTATTATGTTGCTTTCAAAGAATTATTAATTGAGATTCGTTTCTATGGAATTCATTGTTGCCGGCAAGCTTGAACGCAGTATTTTCGAGGCTATTCATACTGGTAGATTGCCGGAAACGTCGGGTGACCACCTGTAGTTTCCACCCTTGGACTTATGAATGTGGCTTGATTCTCACGTAAATATCTGGCTCCATAATTGTTAACAGACGGCAAAGCAACATACAAGTGGTCTCAGGAAAGCTTAGGAAACCTGGCCTCGAATAGGCTAATTCTGTTTATTACTGAATGGATTATAATTGTTGCTGTCTTTGTTTAAGCTAATATTCGACCATTTGCACTTTCTTTCGGAATCCTTAAATATGGCTTTGTATCTGGGTCTGAAGCAAAATACTTATTGTGTTCCATGTGCACGATGAAATTTCGCGAGCAACGCGTGTAAGCAGTGAGTAGAGACACACTTCCAAAGCAGTTGAAATAATCGTAAGATACTAACTGCCGAAAGCTATCACACATTAGATCACGGTTTATTATGAAATGAATTATGCTTTTATTCTTTGGTATCTTTGCTGAGGTACAAAGCATATGTTTCCTCCATCATTCAGTACCGTAACTCGCTGACGGGCATTTTAGTTCCGTTATATCTGAGTAAAATATCAACAGAAAGCAATGCAATCATGATCGAAGCGCTGAAATGTTGTGTGGTGTCAGAACTTTAATGCGCATTTCAGTCTCATAAGACAGATATCTGACCAAACGTTTAGTGGGTTTTTGAATTGCCGCTCAAGTCTATGGAAACACTCGCTGTACCGCTAGAACATCCCTCTGCGTGATTATATGCTGTAAGCTTGGAGTTTGGGTGATGAAAACATTCAACCCTAGCCTACTTTATTTTCCGTACGGCAGTTGCTAAACTAAAAGTCGATGAACGGCAACGCTACTGCTTTCGCCTGATGACTAAATCAATTAAACTGGGCGTGTTGATAAGGGCGTTCACTATGACGGCATGTACACAATAGCGACTTAAGGTTGTTTTAGCGGCAACCAAATTCTGGACGACAATTCCTTAACCAACCCATAATAGTAAACCTATTTTATATTTCTTCTGCAGGTTAACTCAGTGTTTTTATTTAACATAACCTGTTCCTTCGGCAAAATGCAGATCCCTTTACACAATTTCTCGGAATTACTTAATTCACTAAAACAGGTAGATTCAAACTCTTGCTCTGGATTCAGGCTGCTTCCTGCAGGTGCTCTATTGACAAAGTAGTCTAAAGGTAGTTAGGGGATTTTAAACGTTTACTAAGATCTCATCGTTACTTTGAACCTCACAAAACGTCTGTCGAAAGTACTCCAATGTACGTTTGTCCGGGTTAGTTTAACTTGCCATACATGAATAGTACACACTCTTCACATTAATTGGAACCACAGAACAACTGATTGATTTATTAAAACCACGTCCTTTTTGCACAGTAAAAATGATGAAATGTCACAAATGTTTGATCAGCCGGAGAACCAACATACAGGTAGAATGCAAACGGGGACCTATTGTTTGCAAGTGTGAACAAGGCTTCCATGGGGTACGAGACAGTCAATGAGCAGTGTAAAAGGGTATATGATTATGATTCCCTTTGTACGCTTTGGAAAATGTGTTAAACGACGTCGATGCATATTGTAAGTATTGTGAAGAGTATCAGCACAATCTGAAGGAAAAAGAGTAGAATCAGTAAGGAAGTTATGGGTGCAGAGGACAGAAATTGATATATTCGATTCTACTTTGTTAAATGAGATAAAAGCAGTGCAATACTAAAAGTAACTTTTCCGATTACTCGTGGCCCAAAAGCTAAATCCGTACTCTGTATTCAGACAGGTTGGTCTGATCCTTTACTAAACGCTTGACATTCCACCAAATTTGGCTGTAAGATGAGCCCACATTGGAAAACGAGAATCCAATAATCATAATGTTGTCATGAAAAATGGTGTTACTAGACGGAGTTTAGTATTTTAAGGATGGTATAAATTCCAATTATTGAGGACATTTTGTTACTGTTTGGTCTCTAGTCGATTTATGGATTATTTGTAAAAAGCTCGAACAAATCATGGAGATAAGTAGTGCGAGATAGCAAAAACCCAACAGTTTGAGGTGTTGCCGTTAATTTCTTTTGCTTCAGTAGTTGGATACACTTTCTCAACGGTTACTATTTTTAGTACTGCTGTGATGCCTGTTGTCAAATGACACAATGGTTTAATCTGGTTGTAACATACTTGTCAACTTGTTATTTGTTATTCAGCTCATGATTGAACAGCCAACGCAATTCGGTGGAGTATCCCACACACACGCCGTCAGAGCGCACGCTTTAAACACATGTTTAGCTATATCTACGCGCATGGTTCCTATGTATCTGAAAAGCATGTTACTTTCTCTTGTGAAACAACTCCGTTTAGATAGAAAAATAATCATCATTATTTTATAGCGTTTCACGAAAACTGCAGCAGAATTCGCTAAAGGATGATTGAATAATTTTGTACGCAACTTCTCATATAACTTGACTAGTGGATAGAGGTGATGAATACAAGTGGTTACAGTACGTATGCAATAGCCTCTTTCTTGCGTTCGGCAAACGCGGCAGGTAAATAGGTTGCTTACAAAATACAGTTCTTTGCGTAGTGCAAGGTTATCTCTTCGTCTTATTTAACTGAATCTCAATATGGTTATTGTAACCAGATTATCAACCAAGCTGATACAAGTATTTGTACTGATATACTATCCCAGGTGTAGACATCGGAAAGAAAAGTTATCGATTAAGCACTTTTACAGTGTTACATCTTTAGGCCAATAAACCACAAATGAATGATATGAATGCGAACATCAGATAAAGGTATAGTTGGCCTGAGTGACCAAATCAAGTAATCAAGAATATTTTTGTGTGTTTGGTACTGTCTATATCATGTCAGTGTTACAGGGGACAGGGTAGAGGGATCGCTTTTGGACCAACCACTTGGCTTGGTTACTCAAACCAACCGATATCCGATATCCGGATAGTAAGAAGCATAATGGGTGGCGTGGTGGAATAAGTATGCACCGTCTTTTAAATATTATGTCTTATCCAGCTGTTGCTATGGGAAGCCGTAGCTCTATGGGCAAAACCAACTAGCCTCATGTAGTAACCACAAGTCGAGTCGGTGCAAATAACACAACATGCATGTAATGTGGGGAGAATTATAATGTCAGGTAGAAATGAACGCAGTCGTCAAATGTATTTTGGGAATCTCATAATTCTCTCATTATAATGGACTTGGGAAGGTAAGAAAACTAAGACGGCTTACTTCCGTCATACAGAAATGATTTACACGTAGTATTTGCGTTATACCTGATTCATTCAGGGTATTTAAAAAGTAGGCCAGTAGGTGCCACTGCTCGGTAACGGTTTAAATGCTCATCAATACTTATTTTATAACACAACGTTATTGAAAACCAACTAGAGCATTGATAACATGCGTATTATTTCCATTTACTACTGAATCATATTGGTGGATAATTTCACCCACTTTAGTCACGTGTGGTTTTTACATGAAATGCTGATTTCTTAGGTGCAAAATCTGCACAAATAAGGATGTGGTACAAAGTCGTGAATAAGCCAGCGATATTTTCTTCTCCAGAAATTTTATACGTTGCAACTTTGTTCAAACTATAGTCTACAACGTCTCAAAGAAAACCGACATTTTTATTAAACTGTGAATGAAATATGTTGTATAAGCAACCGTGCTGCTCGTATATACGGAAATGGATTGTAGGTACATCCACCGCGTCAGTGATCATACTCATGTCTGTGCGGAATGGTCAGCAACGCACATAAAGCAGCTCATTTCTATACCTTCCGCTGAAAATTTTTATATCTCTTGAAAGTTCTAGTATTTCTTACTTTCCCGGAACACTAAAGCTGTCTCATTTAAATCTATAGTAAGTAGCGCTTCTTGACTGAGTTCAATATAGAAACCGATCCCACAGTAGTAACGACCATTACTTCGATTACGTCCAAAAGTAAAAGTATGCGTAACCTGATGCTACTGTATAATCACCAGTATTGTCGCTCAACCTCAATGCTGTCTGATTACATTTTAGATTATCCATTAGGCATACATTCGATAATAACTCATGAACTTTATCATGAACGGTAAAACAGAAATACAAGAAGCTGCAGCTTAGAAATGAAAAACACCACAATGAATCCAATCCAATTAATCATGACTTACTAGGATGATAAATGTTGCTATCAAACCGTACGCAGCAAAGTTCATGTAATGGATGAATGCTTGTTTAAGCGGCTCTCTGCAGCCCTGATCGATATTGCTGTTGTTCGTCGTGGCCATCTTTGGACATTGTGGGTCTGTTATCTCGTATTTATCGTTCATTTTGCAGCACGGAATCGGCACCGTAATACCTACAAATAAGGAAATCGTTGCGGAAGTGCTACATAATATGGTTGTGGTGAGTCGGATGTGCAGGCTCACTCAAGCACACTAGGTTCAAGCTATGTGCTTGACGTATCTAAGCATGCGCTATGTCTAAGCGCCAGTTAATGTAAACAGGGAGAAAAAACCACGGCAACTGCTATATTCTTAGGATTACTTTCAGATGTGGTCCGTGTATGAAATGAGAAAGGATACTCGACTCTTTTCCTACTCAAGGATTTCATAGAGGTTTTCGTTTTTCCTGCACTAATTAGTGTATGAAATCATTGGTGGCTCCTGATTGAAGCAAGTTCTATCTCAGCTTTTGTTATAATGAACTTCGTTCTTGATGGTGGTTAAACCAAGGGCACGTAGTCAACATTCGTAACAAAGCACCGCTTCAAGGTAAGTGGCACATTTTCTGGGAACCTGACTGCTAATATTGAGGTTTAGTGTGCCCCTACGGGTATTTCCATTAGTGCAGACAACTTATTTTCAGCCATTCAAGAGTGAGCTCATAGTGGTTTATACAAGCGCAATTAAGACGGTGATCACCTTTGTTTTGGGAAGATATCACATAGGTGGGTAGACAAAATGCGGTATCTTCTGGTAATACTGGTCCGTTTTAGCCGTTTCGCGAAGCAACACTAATGTTATACAATGCGTGCGGTTCCACTACCTATTAAGAACTACCATGTAGCACAGCCTCATTTTTTTAGGGGATCCCTGATGTGTCAGACCATTGATTTGGCAAACAGTAAACAATCACAATTTATCAGCAGGCACTGGAGACGGCTGTTTAGCTGTCCACCGCTGTCTTAGCTAATAGAGTTGAGGTAGTGAGTTTCAAATGTGATGGTAAACTAAAGAATGCGTTGTTCTGGATCGCAACCCGTTGTAACGCAAAATACAGTGAAGCTCGTTCCTAAATTGTGGGGAGAAGAAGTAACGGCCTGCCTGCTCTAGGTGACAGAGAATAAGGATTTTCGCTAAGAAAAAGCTACTACCCATTTAAAACAAAATATGCAAGAATTCCTAACAGCATTTTGGAGGGTTATTTTGAACTTCTCGTTTGTGTGCATGGATTGCAACGCCTCTTGAAGTAAACCTTGGTGAAACCGTTCACTTGGAATTTAAATAATGAGCTGATGTATAGTTGGTGTCGTTCACCCAAATCACTTTATTGTCAGTATCGAACGTATTTGCGTTCGACAGCAGTTTTTGGGTGTAGTGGATTTTAGTCGACCACACCCAATATACATCTGCGTATTCAAAGCTTAGTTATGACTCAACGCTACGTCATCTGATTAGAATCAACAGCGCAGAGTGAACCTGAATTAATTACGCACCATTTCACAAAGTTAAGTTTATTGATTATTGTAACTTACAACTGTTGGTTACTTTTACTGACTCTGTACTGCTATCAAAATTTCTGCGCCATTAGTCGCTTGCTACATCGCTCCTTGCTTTTACTGATTCGTTCTTCATTTCTTGTATACTTTACACCGTACACGGGTGTAGCTGCACTAAATCGTTCGGTATTCCGCAGGTCTCTTAATAAAATAGCCGTTTTCTATCAGCGTTTTCTAAAGAAGAACCATATACAACCAGTATGGAAGAGAGGGGTCATCAATCCTCTACATAGAGAAGGTAACCGCACTGACACTACCAACCGCCACCCAAAACGCGACATTCTGTGCTATCCAAAGTTATGGAATCAATCATCGCAGATGCGCTGATGCAGTAGCTGAAAAGCCAAAACTTAGTAGCACCAGAACAACGTGGCTTTCATCAAAAGCGTTCATGTATTACTAACCTATTAATAGCTGGACTGAAGCCACCGATCATGACGTACGAGTCGATGTCATCTATCTGAATTTCTCAAAACGCTTGATCGCTTAGACCATTGAATTTTCCTTCAGAAGTTTTGGAACTAGGGAATTGGCGATCCAATCCTGTTAGATTAGCAATTTTCTACATGAACAACGGTTGGAGTTGAGAGTCCCGGAAACTCTGTCGGACGCAATCAAAGTGGTGTGTGGTGTGACATAAGGCTAGATGCTTGAACCTCGTATATTCATGGTGTTCATTTACGATTTGGCGAGATCAATTGCTTCCGATTACTTATTTTTCGCAGCTGCTATCAAGATGTGGCGAATGACCGGACAAACACGAACGGCTCCAGTGAGATCTTAACACGGTGTCAAACTGGTCAGTTAAAAACACCCTACCATTCAACGTAGATTAATGTCGTGTTGTACAATTACGTCATGGACATAACTACAGGTATTTTTGGGGGACGCGGATTGCAGACCAACTCCCTGGAGCTTGACTTCGGTGTGCTCGCACAGAGTGACCTGAACAGTTCAAAACAGGTTGCGTTAGATACGAAACGTGGCAACAAGCACGTCGGCATGCTGCGAATGTTATTTTGCAGATTTGACCCATGCAGCTTCCCAATGATGCACAATTCCTACTTGTGCCCGCATGTTTAATGAGCTATCCAAGCCTGGCTACCTTGGTTGAAGCGCATCCCAGAGGTATTAGAAGCATCAGCACCAAAGCAACAAAGAATGTAAAGGACCTGCGCCATCACCCTTCCCACCAAAGGCTGAAGTTTCTGGGAGTTTTCAGCGGACGCTACCAAAAGCTGTGCGATCTCATAGTAGCGTACCAACTATTGAGTTACCTTAATCATTTATGTCGCCAATTGATGAAACCTAGACACAACACGCAGCTCAGCGGTAACTACTTGAAATTGAAAAAAGGATATAGCCGTCTAGAGCGTTGCGGAATTACTTTCCACTTCGTGTTTGCCAACCCTGGAACTCACTCTCCGACTCAGTTCATTCCTCCATACTTTGAATATTTTCAAAAAACAATTGAATGTTGCTCTTAGTTCCCGGCACTTTGTTACCTAAACTACGCTATTGTGGATTACGTCGATTATGCCTTTCTATAGGATTTATGTATAAAGTGGACCCAAGCGAGCGACAATATTTTACTTTTCTCACGCCTTTCATCAACGACTACTGCGCCCCGTGTATTTTTGCACGCTTACACTCAATGTTCTGTATTTTACACTGGCATTATATATCCAAACGTTTACCTCAGTAGACGCTCGGTAGATGACCAACAAATATTTTGATATCATCGTATTCACCCCAATCATCCTACGGGACGTGTTATCCTGGGATAAGTCACTGCATTTTGTTCATAGTATCCCAGTCGTACCGAACAAGTGGTAAACGTTTGCTCATTTTACCTTCATCAGAAATATTTAGACTGTATGCCAAGGGAAGATGGCCATGAGATGTGTAGTGGCTCTAGAATTTGGATCAAACCAATTAATCGATTCATCCTTCACTTTGTACTTTATTGTCTTTGGTGTGAGGGAGGTAAAGAATGCGAATAGCTTGTGTTTATCCTGGTGGTTAATTGCAAATTTTCTACTTTAATTTCCAACTGGATATAGTGGCGGTTGCAGTAATGATAATCACTAGCTGTCAACTCTGATTCCGTGTTGCTTGCAGTATTATTGATGAACTAGTTGATGTTTTCCATTTCACTATTTAGAGACAGAAACTTGCCAACAAAGTGGCTATGTGACGAATAACCATATTGCTTTTCTGACAACAATAAACTACTATTATGGTCATTTACAACTTGCTATTGTCCAGCGGAATAAACAAAAGACAGTAAATTATTTTTAAAATTACTCTTCTATTCATTAGCATGTTGCAATGTAAAGCTTAACAGAAACTGCACCACATACACAACCGAAAAAGAGGATGCTAAATAGTATTATCCGTTCCCACTTACCAATGTAATCCTTTCCGCCGTAGTGATCGGTGTTGGACATGTTTTTAAAGTCTGCAGGGCCATCGATACCACAACATTTGAGCTAGAATAGTGTGATTGCATGAAGGAACTGTAGTATTGTAAGTTACGTTGTGAAATTTGAATACACTGTGGGAAGCTTTTTAATTGTCTATGGTCAAATAAAGCGTCCGCAAACTTAAACTTCGCAATTTCATGTCTGCTATGAATTACCTGGTTAAGAAATAAAATAATGGTTAGGTAGACACCTAACATGTAAATAACATACAAAATTTAAGTAAGGTTCTTCCCTTAGCGACTAGTTACTAAAGAAATGCTGGCATCGGAAGTAATCCTCAGGAAATTTTGCGTGCCAGCCAATCGATTGGAACGAAATAGGCGAAACTGAAAAAGTTATTTTCAGTGGAACGTCTACAGTTAGATAGAACTTGTGTTTCTTCGATAATGCAGACTTCGCTTTGGTACATGTAAACTTGACATTAGTTAAGGATTTAGTATTATGCCGTCTCTGTTTAAATTGGTGGACCAAATTTCATCCTTGTTAATACAATATAAAAAACGGCTATTGGCCAAGCTAAATCTTGCAAGAAAGCGTTCGATTTATGGAGGTTATGTTAAACATTTCTGATTTAATAAAGCCATCATTCTGCAAACCAGACAACACAAAAATATCATGCTAGTGTGTGCCTGTCAAAATACCTCGTTATTCGCAGACGTTAAAAAGTAGAACGAAATAAACTTCCAAATCGTTCAGCCAACACCACGCGATGTTAGAAGACTTGCTTTTCTTGTTTACTTTCGGATTTGCTCCGTCACACATCTTTGCACTATAGTAGATAAGCATTTCTTTTTATTAAGTTAACGAGGTACATGGTACAGTTATTCACTTTGAAACATATCCATACGACCTGATTTTATCCGGAAGTTCAAATTTCCGGGGTGTATATCAGCTATTTTCAAGAGCACAGTTTTGTTGCATTCCGGCCAAAAACTTCATTGTCTACTTCTTTTAATGATGTACTTTACGGCATTTCAGCTTCTATTGCGTTCTGATTTACTGCCATGTGAAGCAGTTAAAACGCATCTTACCTTTATGCATGCTTAGTATTTTATAGTGTATCCAGTAAATCTGGAGCAATTATTACACTTCAAAAGCAAGACTTACAGCACCCAGCTACTGCAACTCAAAATACAGAACTTAGCGTTTATGCAAACTTTTGGTACCAAAACCAATACTCCATTAAAATGGATCGATTCCCATCCAGTTTTGATGTTACTGGTCTGCTATCAAATACAGCATCCGTAAAATCTTCGGCAACACATACATAACCAACTAACAGATAGATCTTGACAGAGTATGAGGAAATTTTGTTCTTGTCTATCATAGCTTCCTTAATTATACTCTATCACAGGCAAGAATTGTCACAATGTTAATAGCGGTCTACCTTGAGATTGCGCGTCGAAATTGATTCACACAACGAGCAATTCAAAACGACCATACCATCAGCCATTAACCGTTGTACCACGCTTTGCCCGGATGATCCGGTAGCCAAAGGAGTAGAAGTTCCGGATAATATTATGATGGTCCCAGATGCGGAATCTGCTTAATCATCCTGATGAGATCCTATGACTTCGAAACGCGTCGTAGTGTACAACGTTTTTAGGCTGGCGAGGCCCAATTTCCAACAGTTTCGGCCACGCTCCTAAAGAATGCATTTGTTTTACGTATTCATACCGCCTTTATGTATCACAAGGATATCAATAAGTGGTAGCTACACTTGCGTTTTTATTGTACTATTTCAGAAAATGTTTTCCTAAGACTGCCCTATATGGTTATATTAAATTCCGATTTCACCCTTTCCTCATGCAGTGCTACAGTTAAAGCGGCATGCATTTCATTTGATGACACAAAGCTCCTGGTCTTGGAATTTTTCTGTAAACACCCTAGGATACTTATTGGGGATGTAATTTTTGCCCATGGTAGGTTAGCATTCTTTGTTTGTACTTCTCTACATGAAACGCACCTGATCTACTCAAATACCAAATTTAAGGGCTAAAGTCGAAAAAGACTGTGCAAAGTGCAGCCTATTTGAGAGAGTCAAGATTGCATAGACGATCCCTAACTGGTCTATATCGTTGGACATTGGGGTACGAAGTAATTTGTGGCCAATATTTTAGCTTATAGGTCAGTTGACTGTGGACACCGAGAACATTGCGTGAATAACTGTAATATTCAGAGTGATGAGGTCAGCGCGAATATGTCGTGATCAAATCACACTGTTGAAGAATCAACAAATTCATGGTAATGCTAGAAAGTTTTAAGCATTCAACCTCGCTTCGAAAGTGGAATGCAAACTTCCCTGCATGTGCATAGATCGCTTTCGTTGATGGCACGGGAAAACTCAGTCTCAGTTACTTTCCAATGGACAGCTTCGCATGGAAGGCTGCGATTGTGAACGTTTGAGTTTCTGACTGCACCAGTGTTAGTTGTAGATAATTTATCGTCATCGCTTTTTGTAGATCTCAGGGCAGTGTGTTTGCATCATGCGGTCTCTCAATGCGCTTGAGGGAACTCTTCTCATCCAAATCGTCAAACGCAACATGGACACACAATTGCCATAATTAAGAATTGTAGCCCGCTGTTAGTCAAATAGAACGTATAACCAATATTTCACATTTGAAGCCAGCAATATAATATTGTCGATTTTAGCTGTTGGTCTCTAGGTTTACATTTTAAGTGGGCGTTACTAAGCGATTTCTTTAGGATTCGATGTATCAATGTGAGTGTATTTTAGATAAAAATATAATCAGCTGTGTGATCCCATGGATTGTGATCACTGATGGCTGCCAAGGTTAAGCAAGACTATGAAGCTTCAAGAGCTAGGTACTTAATAAAATATAAATCACCGTCATGAGAACGGTTGCGTTAGAGTTGGCCTTTTTAGGACTTAGTTTTTTTTACACTAGCAGATTTAACCATAGCATTTGTTGAATTCAGTGTCAACACCTTAACTATCCGCATTAAAATTTGAAACAGAATCTTAATAAATCTTTCGCTTTCACAGATGTCTGAATGTGGAGAAAACACCGTTTATTTGGCAGAGGACTACTTGCCTGATCTTCTAACCCCAATATCCCTTTGCAGTTGCCAGTGATAAAAACTGACCAGTAATGTAAGCAGGTGTCGTATCATATCACAATTACTAGACAAAACTTGTGCTGGTTATTACACCGTTAGTAGGATCCGAAACTTAGCACGCAACAAGGTATATTTTGCTGAAGGTCAACAACTTTTTGGATAGTACTTGTATTAGCTTTAACAAACTCTCCATCTTAGCAACCAAGTTCATTTTAATGGAAAAATAGAATGCGACAAAACGCTCCTCAGTATGGAGCTAATTTCAAACAGGTATATAACAATTCAGATTTGGACAGTCGTTTGTAATCAGCTCCTTTGTCAGAATTGCTTAAACTCACCGGAGGTTGAATCAACCCAACAAGCAAACTGTCTACATTATTCTCCTGCATAGATCGGTACTTCTGAACACTTTCGGCAAATAGTTTCACCACATAGTCGCCAAACTAAAAAGGAAATTGCAGTAATGTAGTTGAGTGAAAATTATCCATTACTATGACCAATTTTAATTATCTATGTATATTATTAGCCCACCTTCTGCCATTTGCTAAAATGAATTTTATATGAATTTCCTTTGCCCGGTAGCCAATATTCACTGTTTGATAAAAATACGTTGCTTTGCAGGCAACCGTGCAGCCTGTCTGCCTTTTTGGCGATTTTAATATCAGTCACTTTTATACCGATTGTGCAAAGCGCTAGATTCGGATATTTGCTTAACCACAATTTGTTTTTAACAACGTTGGAGACTAATGTTATGTGTTCCTTCCAGGATACCTCGCACGATTCTCTGTTAAAGATGAGAAGAAAGTAAATAAAACCCTGCGTTATTCGGATTTTTATTTGGTTAGATTCATCATAACTGTCTGAACCGCTTATTATTCAAAGTTGCATATATGTAAAACGGCTTACGTCTTTATCATACAGTTTAACTAACAAACTCGGTGTTAAGGATTGCAGCCGCGATATATGGGTTAATTCAGGCCTTGCCTACGTGTGCATAATTACGTCTATTTGAGCCATGGTTAGGTAAGTCAAAATAGCGGTTATCTTCGTATAAAGAAATTGCACAAAAGATGTTAACTATAGTATATATTCCTTAGCTGTAACGGTATTGGATATCATTTTGTTGTTCAGGTTGCCTATGTAACAGAAGCTACCCCGTTAGTAGAACGTACTGTTTAAATGTAAGCAATAAACTGGTCACTTCCGCTATACCGACACACAGCATCATGTAGATCGCTTAGGCCTTTAGCCAGCTGCACCTTGCCTAATATTCTAAGTCGGATTTTTACGTGAAGTAAACAAGCGAAATTTATTTCCTGGTACTATACAAGTCGCAGCTGCATTTCGAATGTAACTCATGGCCATGTCAGGAAATAATTCCTGGGTCACAACGGATGAAACACAGTATTCAAAACTTTTGTAACTACAGACAATTTTCGTTAATCATCTCCTAAGGCCTGTTCAAATATGCATGTATCACCACAAAATGTTTTAAGCATGATGTGGGTGAACTGTTCAGCTTCGCACAAAGAACCTAAATTATTGCAAAAATTGTACATAGGAATGGTTCTAAGACCTACTTCATCTTTCTTGGCAAAATATACACAGAAGCAGATCAGCACGATCAGAGCCAACAGACCCACGATCGCTGCGTACTAGAAAACAAACGAAATATATGTTGGTTAGCGCACTGCTTAATTGCTTAGAACACGTTTACTAAAATCATAAGTCAATTAATAAAATATTTAACATTGAATAAGCAAAACAAGACCGCTATATATATATATACTTGCATCGCATTGTTCACATTTCATGATTCCAGTACGCCCGTACGGGACGTCGTTAAGATGTAGCCTAGGAACTATTCACAACTATAAAAGACCTCGGTATACCATAGTAAAATTCTGTCAGCTTAATTTCGTCGACAACATAATATCATTTTGAGAACCATTACACCAAAGTGTGTTAAGTTGTAGCCTTCCCGACGTGTTTCCATGGAACAGAGAGGAGTTTCTGGTACAGCATTATGTTTCCAGCTGAGCATTTCCCCACCAGCAAATTATTCACAATAATGTCCAGTTACAGATCAACTTTCTCAAAATGTCACCTGAAGGTTTATGCCACCTTGTGTTGTACCAGTTCTAAGTGTAATCCAGTGCAAAGGAATTCATATTATCTGAGGAACATGAAGCTAGTTTACGTACCGTATAATATACATGGAGTCTAGATAGAGTTGGTAGGTAGATTATGAAACTGAAGAACAGTAACACAAAGATGTGAATTCAACTTAAACATATTGCTCTTTACGGATGATGTCGCAGTAGTAAGATTGAAAAGTAATTAACACAAATTTGTTAAAGCTTACGTAATATAATAAAAGTAATTCATTGAGGTAATAAGTACAATTTTTGACTCTAACGCTGGTCAAATCAGATGCATCGCTTAATAAATTCAGATCGAACGAAGAACATAGGTAAATTGTGTAACGATACAGCTCCCAACAGCTAGTAGGATTCCGTTTCGCGTAATTATAAGATCTCGGTCGCAAGCATGTAGCATGTAGCCGATAATGTTTGGCAAAAGCCAATTATATTCTCAAACATCCATACTTATCATATCGGATTTGGTCAAGAGTAAAGTTCAGGGTGGCAACTAATTAGTAGGCTAATAGAACTTAAGGTTCACTTACTTCGCATAAACAGTTAAGAAGTCATGAATTCGTGCACCTTTATTCACTGAATGTTCCATATATCTATGTATCTCAGAACTTAAATATAGCAATAAATCTGCATGTATTTCAAAAAGTGAAACATAGTATCTCCAAATTTACGAAACCAGTGCTGATCCTGAATAGAGCTGGTAATAATTGTGGGTGTATAGTAATGCACATAGAAATCGTAATTCGTCCCCACTGCTTAAACGGTTTACCAGTGTAAACACTTTGGGACTTTTGTTGGCGTGTTTGCAAGCCACGAATATGCATAAACTCACGACATATAGTAATATCTTATAGTTGCAATACGCTCCACAATAGCCAATGGCCGATGCAATAGAGATAGCAGCGCCCACGGAAAATATGACGATTCCAACCGGAGCTGTTACAAACAATGGGGCAAAGGATGAAATGTACAAGTATTAGGATAATGCATAGAAATGGGGAAGTGATAGTTGATTCATTTTAATTGAATTTTGCCATAAGTCTTCACATGTGTCAATAATACCCCTTAAAGCATTTATTTGCCCTTGGGCAGGGAATTCCATGAAAATAAATGGGGGTACGTCGCCGATGATTAAAATATGATATTTATCCATAGCACAAGAGTGCTGTTTTGTCCCATGTGGACTCGTCAGAAATGCTCATCCATTATCTTTAACAGGATCATGGCTCGTATACACTAGTGAGTTGCTCCACAAGTCGAACTATTTACTACTCCATGCAAGCGCTGAGGCAGGAGAAGTCGACAGACGTCATTCACTTTAACAAGACGTTTGTCAATGCAAATCACGAGGTCCTTATCCACAGACTGAGGGTTTGCGGTATTAGTGGATCCCAACACCAACGGAACCGGGATTTCCTTGTTGTTCAAAAGTAGTGGGTCCAGGTCAAAGACCGACTAATATTCCCCAAAAAGTGGCATGTGCCAAAGCATTGGACTATGGCCCAATTTGTTTTCGAGACGTCTAAACGATAGGCCTCAGCTTTTTCGTTCACTTCTTGCGTTGTTGCTAGATGAATTGAAAGGGTGGGGAGTAATCAGTGCGCCCGTTGACTGTCACCTGTTTCAGCGTGAACTTGAGCGCCACCGTATATGGTTTTCGGAGGTCAACCTTCCAATAAACCCAGTCAAGTCGCTATGTAAGAGCTTGAGTACAATTGAACACTGTCAAAACTACATTGTGGCTGCGAAACCGTTGCATCCGACCCCTTTCATGTAGGACTGCGAACTGAAGTTCATAGACAACCCGAAGGGGTTTTACCGAAACGAACCTCCTGAACTATGGGCGCTTAAGCGAAACTTCTGGGATTGGTCCGAAGAGATTATCACTCGCTTCATCCATTCCATCATACTAACACTGTTCCAGTGAGGCTCATCCGCATGCGGTCCTATCACCCGGGGTGAGGTGCAAAGGACTAAGCGGATACAGCCTGTGGTCACCAGCCTCATACCCATATTACAAAGTGTGCCGTACGAAGACCGGTACAAGCGCATCTACACCCTGCCTTATCATTGAATGCAGGTTGACATCACCATATTCTACCGGATATTACATCTTGGTGCTTAACTTTTGCTGAGGACGTTACTGCACATTTGCACATTAAAGATCTGACGGGAGCACTGTTAGCAACTTGTGGTAACGGGTTTGATGCGAGTCGCTCACCAACTGCGCTTTGAACGGAAAGTATTGAATGTAAGGAACAACTTGTCGCAGCACGTAGTTGAGGCAAACTCGTCGTCCAAACTCAAGAAATTCCTCGACAAACACTGTCAACATGAAGAGCAGTCAAATCAGTTTAATGCTTCCGACGAAACAGGACCCCATTAGACAGATGGTCCCCATTGGATAGTTGGTCCTCATGGACAGGTTTTTGCATATGGGACACTACTCATCATCGACTGCACATGTGTACGTGTGTGTGTGTAATTGCGAAATAGATCTGTATAGTCAAGTTCTAAAACCGGCATTATTATTCTAATCAACATGGTAACAGTAGCAATGTGTACTATGTGCCATATGAAAATGTAACTAAGTGACAGTCCATGAGTAAATATTAAATACTAAATTGCAGACCAGCGTGATCCAAACTTTTAGAAAAAGCATGCACACATTTTCTCTTGTCCATAGTATTCTTAAACTGATGAAAAAGAATCCAGCATTGAACAATGTTGCATGAGAGTTGAACTAAAAGCTAACTTTAGTTTTCCCTTCATCACGATAAGTTCTAGCATGTCAGTGAGTCTGTTATTTATTGCTTAGGAGCGCAATATATCAACGGCACCCTGTGCGTATGTGTATATATAGGTTGACAACAAATCTGTAGCATCTTGGTCCTGCTCACCGTCTGAATCCCTATTCACCTCCCCAGCTGCTAAAATTTGAGGTGACACGAAAGTCTTATTTTATTTCTGTTGGGTTACAAGTTTGCGGATTGGAATCAACCATGAGGCTTTCTGTCAGGTTGCCTGGGAAAATCTCCTTTAAGCGTCATTCAATGCAGTAGTGGCTGCCATTAGCTCGTCTGCCTCAGCTCCAGTTTGCACCGCTGTTCTAGAACCTACGTCTGCGGAACCAGGAAACCGTGCTTTAGGTACCCACTTTGAGACTGTTTAGTTCTCCATCTGCATCCATGCGACAGCGATTCAGAACAGGAAGTTTACACGCCTCACGTCTTCCTTTCCAGATATACCTTTGTGTGATTCCATAATCATAATAAGACATGGAAGCTATCCTTTGCTAAACATAAGTACCTGAATGACACCCTGAGCAAGGGGGTCAAATAATGTTGTACTGGAAGCGGGAGGAACTGCAGTTTGACTTTCTTTAGCTGAATTTTTGGATGGCAAGTGGCAGTGTCAAGAAACTTAATGTTTTTCACTACTCGTGTAAATCAGGTGTAGTTTTGTAAGTTGATATTTTAAAAATTCTAAGGTTAGCTAATTTCCTAATCATTAACGCAGGTCCTCGCTCACACAACATGTTAGTGCATGGCATGTTTGATTCAATAATCGCTTTTTCATAGTTTAACACAACATGTCTCGTCCAATGTCGTTTTGAATAACTTATTTCACAAGATGAACATAACGAGCTGCGTAACAGAATATATTTCGGGAAATTTTGCTGTCCAGTCTGATGTAGCACACACATGTTAGGCGCCGCTTTCGCCAGGTCGCTTACCACGCCCAAGCTTTGCGTATTGCTGAAAGCATGCAACCAACTGTTTGATGCCTTAAAGACTGAGATTTTCACTTCTTTTGCAAAGTCCAATGCTCGTTTTGATTTATGGGTCCAGATAATAGGTTATCTCCTACAAGTGCAGACTGGCACCATTTCCAACAAACTGTCTCTATGTCTTCATTTCCTGTTTTCATGCCATACTTATTCAGTCATAGTGAGCTGTTTTCTTTTCATAGAATAACGACTTTTCCTTTTACTGTTCGAAGCTGGCTAGTCGAACGACCTCTCCATAGCACCAGCGAGATGGTTCGAGTTTGCCATATTCCAGCAAAACTTCGGCGGTAGTGTTCTAGGAGGTGGTGGGTTTTCCTCTTGCAAGCGTTCTCCCTATAAAAGGCCACAACCGTCCGTTTGACAGCACTGTGACTTAGCGGATATGTCTCGCCAGTAGCTAAAGTATCCGGATGATCTAATCCAATCCACAGCCGTAGGTTATCCACTATGAAGATTTCATTTTACACCTTCTCAGGGCTGGCCCAATGCAAGCACAACTACGGCGTCACATTTACAACAACACTCGTTCTTACCTACATGCATTCGTACAAAAGACATGGATCCATATGTTACTTATAAACTGGTGTCGCTTTTACATTTACCAGTCCCTGTTGTATCACCATGCTTATGCCTATGTAGGCGTGTCTCGCATTGTTGGAAATAAAACATTTATTTATTTATTTAGTTATGTAGGAATTTGTCGTTCATACTCGGAAATGTTCCGCAATTGTTCACGAACACTTTCCTTCCTTACTTAGTCGAACCACTGGTGTTCTTCCTTCAAGGGTTAATGGCTTTACTTTTATACGTTTGGAATAAACCACTTTGTCCTCCGTCAGAATTCACAACCAGAAGTTTTTCTACTGGAAATGGACACCGAATGCTTAGGTTTCTACTTACCTCCTGTAATTTATAGGGGCTAAATACTCGCAAGACTAGCAACGACACACAGTTTCTCCATATCATCCGGGGCTTACCTATTACGCGTATTTTTGTGGATACATCCCAGATGCGTTAGACACCCCTTAACATGCGCAGGCAGGTAATTTGCCTCTGCGGTGCTCGTGTCTAGTCTTGCTAACCAGATGAGAGAAGAGAACGAGCTACAAATTATGGCGCTTCGGGGTGAAATCTAAGCCATCTGTGCAATACAATGACAGATTTCGATGACACCACAAGACGAAATCTCAGCAAGTCGTGCTATTGGTGGTCGCCTTTTGCAGGTACTAGGACGCGGTTGCCTTAGACAGGTGGACGTGACACACAGGGAAAGGTCAGTAAGAAAATATAAGAAGATTTTTGGGAATGATTTAACTGATCCCCATAGACAGGTGGTCCCATAGCAGGTTGGAGTGTATCAGAAAGGATCGACGACATAATTGATTAGATAATCTTAGGGGAATTTAGAGGCAGCAACACAGTGCTATCTCTTCTTGCTGTTTCCGTCCAGTATTCGGTAGTAGCCATCAGTGAATTTGCGGCCGTCGATCAAAGATCTGCGAGTAATGCCACATTAAATGCTGCTGAAGGGAGAAGTTTAAAGTACCAGCTTGATCTTACACCGACTGCAAGCCAAATATTGTTCTGACTTTACTGGTAACATGCAGCCTCAATATAAAGTGGATTTAGTTTAAACCCTCTTCTAATAATTCTTGATGTTTGCCTTATAGAATATATTATGCCTCCCATACTTCATTGCGCAGTAACCCAAAAGCCAATTTTTGTCCGGAATGGGGACCAAATGAGTGCTTGCGCAAGGCTTGATGGCTAAGAACTACCTAAAAACAAATGGAAAAGTAATGCACACACTAAAAACTGAAATTCATGTGTATAATAACAGGCCAATGTGTTCCTCCTATTAATTATTCGTATACTAAAGGAAAGTGAGACGATTTGGACATAGTAGTTTCCTTTAAGCCAACCTGGCCCTTTGACACGGCATCACTTAGATATCAACAGTTGACGAGTGAGTGTTGATGCATTATTTGCAAAAACGTTGGTTTGCTACGGTTAGTCCAGATGCAATATGAAAACCAGCTATTGCGATTTACTTAACAATTTGAGAAGAAGCGGCTCACTATGCAGAGAACGCTGTGTAATAATAAGTGTCCAGCTGAATTCCCGTCGAATTCTGAAATATATGTGCTCGACCTGTCCAGCGTGTAATAAACGCCCTACAAATTCAGGCACTTTTATTTAGTCTCAAATTCTTTCACCCAAATAAAAGAGGTCATGGACTAAGAATAGAAACACACTTGGTAAGCCTTAACAACCAGACTAGCTCCTTAGTAACCTCGTCTAGTGCCAATCTCGAGCGCTTCAGATCAATCTTGGTGAATATTATTTATTGTTACCCAAAATGTGACACCATGGCGACTGCTAACAAATGCTCACATTGCACCAAGCCAGAAATATGATCATGGATATCGCGGAATACATAAGAAAGTAGTAAAGCATCCTATCGGACACTTCCAGATTTATAAAATGTGAGGAGAATCATGGGACGTGGCACACAGAAACGCAACCAAAGAAGTGCCTGAAATCCATTGTAAATGACGGCCATATATCTAAAAAGCAAATGAAAAGCTCAAGCATTTGGATCCTTTTATTTCTCTACTGTATGCCCTTACTAAGATGCACAAACCAGACATACCAATTTAACTGGACATGAGACATTCGCCATTTAATAGTATCGCAAGATCACTGAAGTGTTTACTAGATCCTATTGGAAATGTGGTAACCCCGCTCCAAATAACCGACATCTACCAGTTCGTAAAAAGCATTTTAGGCATTATGATTTCAGACTATCGGAAGTTCGCTTTGGATGTTGTCTCACTGTTCACACACGTCACCTTGTTAGAGACGGTTAGTTTTATGTGCACCTACACCGACCGGCACGGGATAAACCCTGGGATACCAACCGTCAGCCTAAAACATCTCTCGCTCAGGTGTACTTAAACATCCAGTTCTAATTCATCAACGAGTTTTACAGCTAAGCGGATGGAGCACCGTTGGCTAATGGATATGCTTAAAAACAGCCTAATAAAACCGGTCACTTGCGAATGAAAACGTTATAACCGTTATGTAGACGATACTTTCTTTGTAGCTGACCAACCGACCAACCAAATAAATATCGCTAAGTATTTCGACCGAGTGCATCTACATACAGAACTGAAGATAGAAGAAGAAAATAAGATGGAACTTCGTTTCCGGGGTGCAAACATTACGCAAAGACGCGCTGGATCTGTCCAGACAGGACAATACAGAAAACTGTACTGCGTAGTTCAACACACACATTTGCAAACTTCTGCACCATTCAGCCATAAAAGAACGCTGTTACGCAACGTAACAAAGCGTGTACATGAGATCTACAGCGAGGACACCATCGCGGACGAAATGTAGCGTATCAAAGAAATACTGGGAAATGGCTACCCAGCCACTCCTTTGACACACACCAAGCAAAGCAGTCCGAATATTGCTAGGCAACACTGTTGAAAATGAACCACTGTTTCCCGCTCTTCCATTTGGGACTAATAGAGGGACAGAAGTATGTGCGCGGGGACTGGTGCAAAAATGCTAGGAAACCTCCAACGTGGCCTAATTAAAATGTGTCTTTCTGAGCAAATCAATGTGCGCTCCTAGATCCGAAGTCAAAGTGCTCGGTCATCTCCTATCCATGGTACTCTACCAGTTTACCTGTCCCTGTGGGTCTAGATACATTGGACGCAATACCAGACTTTTGCGCGAAAGTGTAAAGAAACGTCTACCAATTGGGCTCATGTGTCAACAAGATAGAATCAAGTTAATTGTGATCGCAATCCACCTGATTAGCACTGGCCAAAGGACCGACAAAAGGACTGCTTTTGTGATCACATACAAAGATTATGCCAGCAGAACCAGTGGTTAAAGGAGCGACATTTGCTACCAAAGCAGCGATACGCATTAGGTTACAAAATCGGACCTATGCATCCAAAAGAAACACCGTATCAAATGCTGACGCTCCCAAGACCGTCGGACAAACGCCAGGCATCGGACCTACCCCAGCAATACGCTGTGCCTCCCACTACATGATTGTCGAAAATACATCGATAAGTTTTGAGCAGTTGTCACATTTAGTACCCACAACTGAGTTCGTCAGCTTTTTACCGTTTATTTCTGTACTGAGCCTGCTGAAGAACAAATTGAAAACAATTGATTTTCCCGAAATCACTGCTTACGTTTCGTTTTAGGATTAACCATAAATGGTTATTTCACGCTAATTTGACATATTGAAGTTTCGGACAAACCAACTACACCTGAATGCGCCAAGTGATGCAGTTCAACGCAATAAAAGGCGACGGAAACGTTTCTAAGTGGTTGAAGCTCTATTTTTGCCTGAAGGATTTTTGGCTGCTTTGATGTCGTAAAGGGAAGGACTTTGACGATCAGCGAGGCTTTTTATTCCAGCAGGAACATCGAATTAGGTAATCTCGAAGGACTCACATGCGGAAGTTAGCACTCGGGTGACGAGTTCCGTAACCTGGGGTGCATCAGTGCCACTTCCGACCGATTGCAACAGTGGAACGAGGAATTCATTGAGAATATTCTTCAAGACATCCTGGCCCCACACCACCAATGCTCCAAAAGCCAGTAGAACCAATCCGGCAAGCTGGATTTAAATAGGATGTTGAAAATAAGTGTAAGACACTGTAACTAGATGCTACGCTTTCAAAATGTACTTTTGCCACTACTTATATAAATAAGTGCATTTACTGGGCGACATATCTAGCTATTTGTAGGTGACTTATTGCGGTGAGGGTGGATACACTAACTGTGGAATTATCGTATGCCAGAACAAAAGATATAAGTGATGCTGGTAGCCGGATTGCATGAAACTACGAATAATCTTTTATAGTTTTAATGTCATTTACGTTTGTTAGATTGAACGGATGTGCCGTAAATGGAAAATAAATCGCTGTCTCTTTCGCGATAGAAATGTTATTTCTTAACGCTACATAGGCCGTCATATTGCGCGTTACATTAACGTAGCTCGATGTTAGATATACGATCTATTCGCTAAGTAAAACGAAATTATTTTGTGGCAAACGCAATACAAAGGAGCTGATGATAAGAATCTAACGAAACTGAAGGTGATATATTTTTGCTTTAATGACATCATGTTTTCTTCTCTTGCGTAAAGGGCATGGCTTATACATGCCTTGTTTTAATAGTGGGTTCCTCTTTATGCGAAATCACGGCGCGTTATCTAAAAGAAATTTAAGTAAATAAGATGAAAAATATCATTTTTGTTTTCGTTTGTTTTTTCGTCCCTTATTCATGTCAGGGTAATCATAATCTGAGATTGCACCATGACAGAAGTTTTCTGTCGTTCAGTACCACATACTAAATAAACAATCACACCTCCATGACGACCATATATTTGCGCACTTCTGAAGCAACAGGTCTTTCAATTCACCCTCAGCGAAAAAATTAAGCCGTGAAGCACGATTGTATGCTGTTGACAGGATGCAATTTAGCAAAATACTTTTCAACCTAACATGGGTTTTTCAGTTCAAGTAGTTTGGAACACCCGTGTTAGTATAGTTACAGCTTACAAACCACACTTAACAAGCAGTAACGAAAGGTTTGTTTAATATGAATAGAACAGTGAGTTTAAATTTGCAGCCCCCGGGGCAATTTAGAATGTGTATTAAACAGATGAGGTCCAGTAGATTGCACTATTTCATGCTAGGTCGCCAGTGCTGTAGTGCTAGTAGAAACCGGATAAAATCTTTGTTTCAGAAAATACAAAAAATGAAAGAAAAATCGGAAGCCGCCACAAGCGACAATTGGCTAAATAAAGTCTGGTAGATGATTGCTTCGCACACCAAGGGAGACGGAATTCCTTATGGGTATCGATCTCAGTCCGGCGACTAAATATGCTAGAACACTTTGAATACGCCTAGTCTTATCTAGGTATGCTTGCTGCTCAGACTTTCAACGGACTTACTTTGTTTTACGTTCTTTGATTCGGGAATCTAAGTCCTCATCGGTTTTATTCGTACAACGCAGCTCAGAGAATAGGCGCGCATGCTCGTTCTGGGCATGGAACAAGCTTTGCGGTTAACTACTTGATCACATGCACAATGGGAGTTAGCCCAAGTAAACTGAGTACCCACAGTGCATGTAGCCGCAGTGTATGTTTCGTTTAATAGTGAGTACTTCAGCAATATTGAAGGTGTTCTTCGTAGCATAGGTCAGCTGTCTGGTGGTCCTTAGTTTAGCCATGTCACCTTACAAAGCAGCTAAAGGAATACTTTCATCTCATTTGAGCCGGGTCCTAAGCCATTCATTCAACTAGTTTGGAAGTAATTATATAAGTATTACGTCTATTTTACCGCCATGAATGTATTAAAGATACCCATGATATTACATTACAGCTAACCTAGCGCGAGCGGCATCCCTTAAAATCACCATAAGTGGATCCCATGGGTGCAGCCCTTTAGGTAATAACTAGATTGGATGTAAAGTCTGTCTAGAAAAAAGTGTGGCATCGCATTCCAACTAAGAGCCCAATTGCATTCGCTTTCGGTATCGATATGGTGGATAACAATGACTGCATAACGAAAACCGAAAAATGAGCAGGATAAACATTTGGAAAACAAAGATATAAGTTGCGTAAGCAGTCAGCGTGCTAGCTAGAAGTAAGGGTCACCCCAGAATCTCTGCCCTAGTGTGATTCAGTAGGACAACCTAACCAATATAAAATAATAAAGGTAAAGAGTACACTATAGAAAAACTCAATCTGCCTTTATCATTGTGCGCGGATATTGTGATCGTGGTTGGAGGGAAAGGACAAATAAGTTTACTACACAAACATCATTGCAGTCGGTTCTTAGTCAAGTCAGCGTCGCCATACAAACATATTCATTATCCTTGGGACCACCGCTAGGTAATTGGAGGGCATCAAACGACGCGAATTCCGAAGTGGGGACCTTGATTATTCTTGAGCAGCTCATAGCTTGGCTATTCGTTCCCCTCTTGCCTCCCGACATCCGTCGTGCAAACGACGTAAGTCGGGGGAATTGGTATACTGACATGAGTAACATGTGGCCCAGTCATCGGAGCTTGGTAAATGATATAATAGTGCTGAGCGGTTCACTCATTCTTTCTGCACCAACTACACGACGCTGAATGCGCTCATTGCTCAGGTAGTACTCCCACCCGACAAGAGCTAAGCTGTGAATCAGCAATATCCGAACGTAGCTATTCTCTTTATATCTGTCAACCTGGTGCAGAGGCGCGGCATAGGAAGAGCGGCGGAAGCAGTCCACCACGGGAGGCATGTGACAGAGAATAGCATTTTTACTACGGATGGTTGTTAAATTCCAAGTGTAAATTCATCAAAATTACTTCCATAACTGAAATGGCAAAACGGTGACATTCTTGCTGAGACTGAAGAGGAAATTTGTACTGTAACCTAGATAACCGAGCAACAGAAAGTGACCCTGACGGCACGAATGCAGCGGACATGTTTGTAATGCTGTTACAAAGGATGTGCGCGAAGCTGAGGAATTGTAAATAAAGCCACCCTTTGGCACGATAACACGCACATCAACCGGTTCTATGGCATTATCAGTTGCCTGTTAAGATTGGCCTTGGAAATCTCGCTATGATAGCCCGGCTCGAATCTAGCGTTATGCAGGACGTGGTTGTAGAATTCAATAAGTGATTTTACCTGGATCGAATCAAAAAGCTGGAACTAAGAAACTAAAGACCAATTGGGTTTTCAGGAACTGCGAAACGGTGTGCAATGATGTCGAACACGGATGTTGTAGCTTCCTACAAAACAGTCGTTGTTTTGTTTCCGCTGCAGGATATTTTCAACGCTATAGTTATCCCTTTCAGCTGATGTGCTTTTCAGAAACTGGTGGAAACTAAGTTCAGAAGCCTGTGAACACGAATCTAGTAGTCTGCATGCTTAGTCATTCATCAACCTCAAGGAGCTAGCGATCCGGTTAATTGAATGAAAGGTGACCGTTAAAAATTGTAGCTGGCACTTGTAGAGAAGAGGTGACAAGAATTCAAACTAGAATGATTGATATCGTCGGGTTTCTATTCCAGCAAAACATGAAACTTTGTGGGCACCAACAAGAGAGCCAGAAAGACAAAGACTAAGAACATAGAGAATCTTTAAGAATTTATACATTTGTTGGCCAATTATGAACCTGTTCTTCGCAGACTTTTGGTGACAGTTCAGCCGGGTAGGAAAATTAGTACCTTTTTTGTTACTAAACGTTCAAAATTAATTAGTGAAAACTTTGACAAGGCAAATGGGAAAGAAACTCTTAGAAAAGGTCGAGGAAAGCAAGTTAGTTTACTTATTTTTGATAGAACATTAGAGGTATCCCATAAAAATTCGATGAGTGAAAATGAAGTAACAGCAGAGAAATCGATTTGCTGCTTCCTTGCGACTAACAGCGAAAGAACAGAGGAAGTTGCTGGATAAGTATCGAGTGACCTGGAGAAGGCGAGAATTCAGATTGATGGCTGCCGCGGCCTGGCAGTTAACAATGCTGCTTTTATGGCAGGCTGGCAATCACGTGTGCAGATATCTGTGCTTGCACAAACTATTTCCTTTATCTGGCGTGTGCTCATGCAGCATCGGTGACTGTTTATTCTGTTACACTTCTGTATAATGCACCGGATATTCTGCTACTATTTTTAAACCTAAATATATCTGAAATGTCTTAATTCAAGTCACCAGCTTTAGTATAAAATAGTGTAGGACTAGTAAGTAATCGTCCGATACGTTACGCGTAATCAATGGCGGATAACAGAAGTCAGTTGAATTCGAACACAGTGGTCTGTATTCAATGGGCTACAAAAGAGTTGGACGGATAAAACGAGACAGGAGCAAAATGTCAGCGTGACAACTTACAGAGCAGTCAAGTAACAAGCCGGTTGTAAGGAAAAACGAATACTACAATACAATACAATATACAATTGGACAGCAATTAAACTTGTCCATAAACGATAGTAGTTATCTTTTTTGCACTACAGTAGCTGTAAAATCTGAATGGAGGGGTCGAGCAAGCGCTGTTAATGTTGTGGTGAAGAAATACTGAAAACTCAACTTCTCTGAAACCGTTCACAGCATAATAAAAAGATGCAGTCACAACATCAGATACATCTTTAGGTTCAACGGATGGACGGAGGAGAATCGCTTAATAAGTCAATGTGGAGTGATGCTTAGTTAAAAAGGGAAATAATGTCTGTCGCGGACAGCTTGACTGTTGAAATGACAAGTATTTCAGCAAACTAACAACCTTGCAAGCAAATGTGCTTTCCTTGCTCCATCCAATCTGCTTGATGATAACTATGGTTGTCCGATTAGCGAAGTTGCGGAATATAACTTCTTTTCCGAAAGATGGCAAACTTTTGTGAAAGCTTCAGGTAGCGACAAAATCAATGAGCATTTTGAACTTTGAACTTACATAGAAGTGGCAAATTGGGGAATCTTCTGTGCATCTTTCTTACCCGAACCAACTGGGAAAGCGTTTTCTCAGAACACAAAACAAACTAGCTTCAATCACCCATGAACCACGAATGGGCAGTTCACCTCATACAAAGGGAACCTGACAATGGACTGAATTTTGTTAGCGTTATCAGTACTATTTCCTCAAGTAATACACGAAAACTGTATCCGTAGTTTTTGTATACGAATATTTTAACAATACAGCTATCTGAATTCCGGCCTCACTCTAAAAGTAGATCTGTCTTTGTTGTTACATTGAACGGAATATTGAATGGCAAGTGGCGGTTGTGGAATTTACGGATTTACAACTGTCAGCCTGGGGGCAAAAGCAGTTGCTGTGCCACCGAGTTGATGAGTTAGGTTTCACAACCATAGAGCAGGTAATTTTCCTTATCTACTGATCCATAGGAGTTGAGAAAGCTGTCAAGATAGAGAAATTTGGGAATAGCTTTACGATGAGCTCCACATAGGGCCAGCGCATAATGGAGGCTTTGTTCATCTTATAGGAACGTTTGGATTTGAGGGGTGCAAATCACAGCCTAAAATTGTCAATGGTGGGTGATAATTTATGTAATGCTGTTTGGCAAGCTTGTAATTTGTTACATATTAGGGCAATGGCATCGGTGTACTCCAAGTTAATCACACACCTTCCATCGCATGTCCAGTAAACGCAGACTCCATTGTTTCGTCAGTACTGCAGTCGAAAGGAAAGGTGACAGCGAACATTCTTGTCTCATACGACTGTAGAGTCCGGAGGGCGGCGATAGCTTCACCCTCTAGTCGAAATACGCTCGCCATTACAATACTTTCTCATTTCTCACGTAAACTCTTCCTAATCGGACAGTCCCAGATGACACACCAGTCTTCCGAATCGAAGACAAGTTTGATGTCTAGGAACACGACTTTGGTGGGTCGCCGGTATAAGTTCCAGTGCTCTAGTAGCCGACATAAAATGAAGATGCGATCAATGCAGCCTTGATTTGGACTTAACCCTGCTTACATTGAATTTGAGATCAACAAATGCCAGTCTTGAAGAACCATATACACTGGCAACGTGAATGCGGTGTGGATCAGACAAATAATTTATGATTGCCGCATTCTGAACGTGAACCTAGCAAATTAAGTGCATAACGGAGCAGCTCCGGCAGGTTGGGATAGTTTTCTTCTTCCACACCTTTACTAATAAATCTTGCAAATCGTCCACAGATTTTGGATGGAATGGATTAAGCAAACCTGGCACTGCGACCTTATACAACTTGGACAGTCTGCTCTCACCAGCAAGTTCGGTAAGAGGTGGATCCAGAGAAACAGTCCAGGAAACAGCTTGATCACTAACCGACAAGGAAGCTAGTAATTCCCGTGTATTAAATTACATTACAAATGCTCTGTCCAATGCTCCGATTGTTAGAGTTCGTTGTGCATAGTCTATCCATTCACATCGCATATAGTTTCGTTGACACTACATGTCCAGCGGTGGTTTCTCGTACCAGGCCGAATAAATTCCAAAATTTATAAAGTGTAGCGGCTGTTAGTATTTCTAGTGTACAAAGCGACCACCGGGCTCCACAGTCTATTTTCAGGTTAGCACAGAATTTTGTTCTCAGATCATTTCTGGATCTCATTGCGTTCACTTTCAATTGAAATGCGTAGGCCATCATTCGGACGTTCCATAAACAGCGTAGAGACCCATTAGCAAGATTGGCAATCAGAACTGCAGTAAAAAGACACACCTGTTAATAGCGTCTAGTGAAGATGTGCCAAGTGGTAGTCAAGAGCGTTCACTGTGCGCTAATGCCAGCATACGTTGATATGCACTTGGAACATCAGAATTCGCGGCTGACAAGTGTCTATGCGCTCCCGGATTCCGCTTGAGCATTCTCCAAAATACACTTTAGGTAGAACATGCTATCCGAGTCAAAATGTGACTCGGATTTTAGTTGTAAATGTCTATCCGTTATTACTCCTTATCCGTTTCTTTCCATTTCTAACCCTAGCTGATTATGGGGCTAAACTAAATTTTCCAAAGTTATTCCTGTAACGGATTCCGTTGCACAGGACAACTCAGGCAATCAGCCCAGGGTGAGTGCCACCAGCGAGTCAAAACACGCACACAAAGTCCGATGACATGTTCTGTTTGCAACAGTCCTACTTTTTCTATTATATGGGATGGAAATACAGGGCAACTCACTGCGGCGCAAGTCGTGGGCAAATCATGCGACTATAGGGCAGCAGCCTGACTGTCGTTGAGTGGTTCGGAGCATGACAGGAAGCGGCCGACAGACGAGTTCAAAGCGGTGACGTTTTGGTTTATACTGATTAACTGACTTAGGTAATCTACTACACATTTTGATTGGCGTTGCCAGTAAACCAGTTCATAAACGGATACACGTGAGTTAGCTGTTGTTTCATGTGCCTAAAAACCGCAGTGATACGGAACTACTGCAAATGTCAGGTGAACACGCCGAAACGGATATCCACCCAAAGTAACATTGAATGTATTATTTCTTACCTAATATTAATAAAAAATATAGCAATGATTGTGTTAAAAAGAGTAAAATCAACCGAAAAGTTATTAAAGTGCATATCATTAGTCCACTAGAAGGGTTATCGTTAGGATTCTCGACGACCTATTTCGGTGGATAAAAAGAAAACAGTATGGGCTGCCTCTGCTGCGGAACAGTGCCCTATCCTTTTTTCTTTAACACCATGCTAAGTGATTATCGTGTCTATCAAGGCTTTAATCATTATTAAAATGACATAGCAGATTTTTACCTGGCTGTATATTCTCAATTTTTTGCGCTTTCACTGACAATGCTAAGCTGATTGATCAGCGCATGCGCATTTCTAGTTGCTGGAGTACGTAACTCCTACCAGCAAGCAGTCAGCTCAAATCAACATAACAAAGACATTGGGAACAGGACACATATTAGGAAATTAAGTCCTGCATTAGGGGAACTTATTTGGGTCAGCGCGTTTAAAAAAATACAATTGTAGAATCAAAAACTGATTCTACTTTATTGTCTGTGTTACCAACGGTTTTTGTGAATATCAAAGAAATCTAGTAACAAGTGTCACACAGTTATTTTCACTTCGCTGAGTAGATGCTTGCTTGAGAGTAATTCAGATGATTAAACTGAAGCTGTATTCCCGTTGCACATAGATAACATATTAAAGCCATCGGTACAATTGATAAGATACACCAGTTATGTAAATCAAGAACTCCGAGTAGCTAGACCCAATGTATCAGTGTATCGAACACCTTGTGTAAACTCACCCCAGTAACGGTGTTAAGAACCACCAAAACAATTCGACAAGGCAGATTGCACAGCATTTTGTTGGACCAGAAGGTAGTTAGGCGATGTCGATGGAAGGTTGAAAACCCGTATTCTTTATATCAGCTGTAAGACGAATGAGAGAGATTGGTCAGCAGCACAAGAGTATTTCACATTCCGGTGCAAAGTTTTGGTCTAAAGGTCGTTTTAAGAAATGTACATTGTAGAATCGACCGGATGCTAAACTCCACATATTTGTTAACTGACTTGTTCTCAAATGCAACATTAAGAACGGAATGACCAGATCAATATTTTTCGCTAAACCATGTGACTGAATACTGATCTGTGTAGACGCATTTCAATATATCGTAGGCTAAATGGAATGTACGTAAGTTTCCGACCATCTTGCCGTGGGATCAAAAAAGCCAACTTATATCGCTGTTAGATGTAAAGGTAGAGTACGTCGGTTTCAACTTCAACCCTACTGAGCTACATATAATGTGTACAGAGAAATACACATATCATATATCCGGACTACTCGAACATTTTGTCCAGGACATCATCTATTTGTACCAGTTGACAGGGTTATGTTGCTGGAATGAAAACTAGGTGTCAAGCAATATAGTAAACGTTTGAGTATGCAGGTTGTTTTCGCGCAAAATTAACGACTAGGTGATTTGTTTCTCATTCACCTAGGGGAAACTAATATAATGAAGAAAGTTTCACGTCCTTCTCAGTAAAACACAAAGATCGACAACGACATTTTATTTTATAGGAACACCGAATATCTGCTCTCGCAAATAAGCTAGCTGCTTCGTAACGGTAGTTTTCAGGCTTGCAGAATTGATCATTGATTCCAAAGAACGAGTCTGTAGTCATGAAGCCATGTGTTTAAGAGGAAAACAGCAGGGATACGAACAACGCAGGTTGTAGCCCCTCTCCCACTCAAACGCAGTATAAATTTCGGAATTCCAACCCAATCACAGAATACTAGGCATAATGTGCTGTGCATTTGTGTTTGATAATCACGCATAATATAAGCCAACAGGGATGAATGCGCTATATAATTATCGCCAAGTTACGAGACAACAATCGGAAAGCGTTTTTGTAGACCCGGTAATGTTTGTCTACTAAGAACTAGCGGATCAACTACACCTGATTAGCAGGCTTTCCACGGATTCACGTGTGCGATTTTCTTGTTAGCTGATGATACGCAAAATACTCAGTGGAAAGTGTGAATGAAACCGCAGGTGACAAATGTATAAGTAAAGTCTACCACACAAACTGTTGGTTCAAATAGGCCGGCCACATCCCGAAGTCCAAGACCAAGTACTAGGTTGACCATCATCATATCTGTACTGTTGTTTCCAAATAGTCAACTTACGTGACTATCGCTCTTCCTCACATCTAAGTGTGTTCGGTCCACCACTTTTCCTGCTTATATCAAATACATCTGAATGAGTATTAAACGTGGTATGCTGTTCTTATTTGTTGGTGGCACAATATTTTCTACAAGTTCCGAGGAGTTGACCTTCAAAACATACTACTACTATTCAGGATGGCCGTTATGCCATTGGGACATGGTACAACATGCAGATGATAAAGTTCTCGACCCAGATTTCTCGGCGTCATGTGTCAAGTTCGTTTTAAATCAGAAGTATGCCCTAGTTAACAGCAAATACGTCTGCGCGCAACTGTCTATAAGCAAAATGATGCTCTGATACTGCGGCATTTTCAACTATTTTGAGCAGATTGAGGACCAAATAGCATGATCCTAAGAGTCCATGGCTGATGTACCTCACAAGGTGAACACATTTGCACGTTGGAAAATCCTCACTGATTCCATCATGGAACAATTCGCCAAACTCTTTGGTAACATGAGTAAATCTGACAGGATAGCTACCGAAAGCATACAGCGGTCATGTAACCAACAATGTTTATGCAAAATTTCCACATTTTACTATGGAAAGCTGTGTCAGCAACTCCAGCTCGACCCCGTCCGCCTAAAAGCAAAAAAGCCCAAAATGATACTACCATACGATCTAGTTCATGGTAATGTTGCTTGCAACATACGCACATTAAGATTGCAGCTGAGTTTTATTTGGGACCTTCGAAACAACGAAACGATGCAGTCCAACATCTTTCTAGTTAGATACGTTGCTCAGTGGAATAGATCCCGAATCACAACCAGGTCATGTGAGCGTGTGCGATAAGTTAGGAAGTAAGTAAGTTGGGAAGCTACCTCTACCTGGACAAGGTTGTGACCTTTTGTTTGTGAGAGCACTTTCCGGTCTATGCAATATAGGCCACTATAATTTATAATATGGGAAATGGTAAAACCGTACGCAATGTAAGTAGCACTCCGTGTTTAAAATATCCTAAAATTGCACCAATGTTTTCCACCTTAGATTAAAACACAAATATGTGAGACGTATACATTGCCAGCAACACAGAGGGATATAAGAACATAACGACTTATCGCCTATGCAAAAACATGGTAGTACCTTGGCTAACTATGAAAGTAACTTCTCAAATGCTGGACATATACTATTATTATTATAACAATTTTTTGTATGGTTTTGTCAGTATAACGCTGAGTGAACTTTAGGCATGGGTGCGCTGCGATCTTTGATAACCAAACCTAGGTAAGAAGTAATAGTCAACCAGGCTTTTTAGGAATGGCTATTTGATATCCATAAAATTTCATAGCTTAGTTTTTGCGTTCAGTAGTATAAGGCACGTATCTTCCAGCAGAGGTGCCCTCTTCAGCGGCAATAATAGCACGTATACGTGTTGGTGCTTTTTTCATTTGAAAAATGTGTCTACCATTGAGAAGAAAACTGATGAGGAAATGGTGAAACTAATGTGTAGCACAAAATATCTAAGGGGAACTTCTGCATCCAAGCGAAGCAACATTGTTACTATGTAATGTCACGATCATCCACCGATAATGTGAAGCTGATTGCTTTGGTGAGACAGCTTGTGTGCAGTATGCAATTTCACGCACCATATTTAAGCTCACACAAAACTGGGTTGGGAACAAGAACCTTTAAATTAGGAAGTCTGTCTGAAAGTTAATACTGGATATGCTGGTGTTGCCTGCGAACATGTCCTACGATATCCCTGATGGAGTGGCAACTAGTTGCGTGAAACCTTGTTAAAAGCACAAGATGGACTAGCACTATTCGTGTTACCGAGCAACGAAGCGACTTCTTATTGTTATGCTAGTAAGTACCTTAGAAGCCTACGTCCATTCTCTTCTCGGTGGATGTAGGCATCTGTTTTAGAAGACTAACTACTTTGTTCAACATGGTTTGCAGCCTGAATAAGAGGAATATATACAATTTTGTTAATGCCAATCCGGTATTGTATATGCGTGGACACATTAATAATACTTAAGGCACATAATTCTTCTAAGATGCGACAGTCAAAGATCTGAAGTCACTTAATTCTGCAGGCCAATTGGGTCACGCTTCCTTGTCGCAGAAAACGGTCACTACTCTTGCTCTACCTGTAAAGCCGATAGCGTGAGGATGACCCCCATTCTAGCATCAAAGATATCCCATATTCAGAATGAAAGTCTTAACTCGCACTGTGAGTAAATATCTTATAAAGCACAGCAAAAACTATTGCTACTGTACACGCCAACATATCTGAAGAGGTATATATATCGTCATTTCTTCCCTTAGTACTTTTGGTGCACTTATCATGTAAAATATATCATCGACTCAGAAAACGTATCCAGACTTGACATAGCAGCATCGCAATCAATAAATAGCAAGAAGATGTACGAGTAACCAAGTTAAACAAGGTTTCCATTCAAGCAGTCGTGCCTGGAAATTGTGATAACAAAGGGCAACGTCCCTCGTTGCTGAAGTTAAGCTATATAGGACAATCCTGGTGAAAATTGCCAATTAGTGAGATATTCTTAATTAAACCGAGGTATTCCAAGCTGAGATGTTTTGCACGAGCACTGGACAAATATAAAAATTGTTCATAGGATCACCGGTCGTTTAGTGTATATTGAGCAGAACGCAGTGATGGAATGAAGTGACCGATCCGTTAAAAACAGGAGAAAGTACTGTGGTCGGTCAGTGGCACTTTTGGCGCTACGATGCCATCGACGACAAAATGAGGATTGGTTCGATGCAGTTCTGTTTATAATGGAAACTTGCACCCCCTTCTCTCATATAATGCTACATTGTGTTAGGCCAGAGGCTTGACTTATTCACTGTCAACGTCACATTGGTGACCCATATGCTAAAGCAAATATTGCGACGGTCCCTGCATATCACAGATTAAAGTGGTTTTACTATTCTCTAACAGAATCGCGTTTTCACAGTACTGCACTCTAAGGACATACACCGACAGATATTCCTTTTCGAAGGACATCGACGTTTACGGAGTAATTAACCGCAATCTGCACATGCATAGGATTTCTATGTAGGCCTGATTATTTTTAAATAACTTGTTCATTTCGATAGTCTAATATTTCATGAACAGTGCTTCCAGATAAAACTTATAAATACAATGAAATTATTTTTGGCACGGTGTAGGGGGAGGCAGAGTTTTCAAACTGGACGACAATCACGGATGCAACCGCTCAGACTCAAACGCACGGCAAGCCCAGAATTAACACCATATATTATGCTTGGCCATAACTTCGAGGTGTTCCCGGACCCAAGTGCATGGACATTATTCACAACCCAATCAAAAAACATCACGTTTACTTCGTGGTAAGAGCTATTGATGACATCAAGAATCAAGTTTAATGGTATCTGTAATGTCCATAAGCAAACGGTGCATTTTCTGCACCGTTTACGAACCCTAGTTGACGTTGTCTCAGTTGTACCCAGACAACTATCCCAAGAAACATAGCACAGATTTTTCCTATGAAGCACGGAACGATAGCCACCTGGATTTGTCCTGTGGTTTTCCTTTCATTAGTTTGTGTCACATGTAGCTGGTAGCAAGAAAAAAAGCGCAGTTATTTACACAAAGGTGCACTTCATAAATCCTAGTCTCAAAGATCAGTTTTCGTTTAGTGTTCTGGCAAATTCATTAAACTAGCATTCCTTTATCACTGCATCAGTTATGAGTGTCACCAGACAGCAAGTTATGAGTAG